TTGCCTTGTGAGTATGAGTATAGAGGGGGCTAGTTTGAATGGTGATGAGTGATGCATATTCATAAAAGGGTTTATCCATTTCTCTTCTCTCCTTTCATCCCTCATGTGCTTTGATCAAAAAGTTGGAGGAGAAGTCAAACTCTTACATCGCTTGAGATGCGAGAATGCTACAGGGGCAGAATGAAGAGCTGTCTGAAATCTATGTGTGTCTGTATATATATCAAGACTGTCAAAAATATGTAATCACATTTAATCATATCATTTCAATATTTACTGGTGATATACCACCAACCACATGCTTAAAATTAAATTATTTTGCATGGAAAAAAAAAACAGTTTTCAAGCTTGTTAGCAATGTGTATGGGAATGTGAAACTATTATTCCCTTGTGACAGTGAGGATGATAACTGGTCACAAAATGCAACAACCTGAGGACGTCCCTTAGACTTGGATTTTTAAAGATTTATTTTTGGGCTTTTTTTTAGATTTTTAACTTAAACACACCCTGAGGATTTTTTACACTGAGAAATTAATACTGATGCCTCCATATGACATACAAAGGCAAAAAATACCATCAGGAAGAATACAAATGATTGCTGTTGTTATTTTAATGCTTGTCATCACTGCTAACTGGTCAAAAGATTTACATTATGCAAACTTGAAGGGTCTTCTTTCACAATTGCCATGAAAAAGACTTGATATGTCTGACATTTAAAACAAATGCAGGACCTTTTTCTGGTTGAGAAAACTACTTATGTATGCACAGGACAACATAAGCAAAGAGATGAGAAATTCATGCACCATATACTAACGAGCAAACTCAAATTAAAGTTTAGGAGACCATCTTATGATATAGCAGCAAATCTCACAGCCATGGATAGTTGAGTATATTTAAAACTAGTCAGAGTATTTTATAAAAGAATTCCACACATTTCCATAAATTCAGACCTTGACCCACATGTCAAGAGTTGTGCCAATGGTTTAATATCTCCATGTCTTCTCCATATTTACAATGTACAAAGAAAGCACAAGACTTATCTTGGATAATAGAAATAAATACGCACAGCTCCCCCAGAGCCAAACTGCAGCCCAGGCAGCAGAACGGAAAAACTGTAGTCAAGTGAATATGTCTGAAATGCATGTGAGGCAGCTTAATTGGGGCCAAATCTTAACAAAATGTTGTCATGTTTTCACACCCTTAGGTGCATTTAGATAAAAGCAGCCAGCAAGTGCCATATCTAACTAAAGAGAGAAAGGAGAAAGGAGAAAGCGTGGGAGCTGAGCTGTGAGCAGTGGCTTTCTAATGTTCAGAGGCTTGCTGTATTCAAAGCTGTGATACGTGTTTGTTTCACAGAGGAATCTTATATATCTCTTATTTGTGCATGCACACACTAAAACACTTCACCAAAAACGCATCTTCCTTATTACAGCTGCCTGTCTTTGATTTTTGCTCTCTCTATCCCTGTCCTTTGTTAATTCTGAATCCAGTGAACCAGCTCATCAAATCCCAATCCTTATGACACAGTAATTCAATCTAACTATGTTCAGGTGTTAACAAAACAATTAAAGAGTAATAATTACATAGATTAGTCTGATATCTGTAATTCATTTAGTAGAATAATAAATCACAGGTCTTTTGAAGTTGTAGCTTCATGTAATTTCACCTGTTACATGCTGATTAAATGTTAAATTGTGTGACTGGAATGAGTCTGACATTGATGTGACTTGATCATGGAGGAATTTGAATCATATCTTTGTCAATCTTGTTTAACTATAGAAGCACACCATCTGCTCTGGATTAGAGAGTAGGGATTTTTGTACAGTAACTGAGTACATCATCAAAACAACAGCATCAACTGCTGAAATAACCATGATGTTTGTCATTCAAACAGCACAAGCTACACATAAAGACTGCTAAAATGGCCTGAATGTTTTCTGAAATGTTCCTTATAATAAAGTACAACAGAAACTGTTATGTATTTAAGGCCAGAACCGTCTCTGATTCTGTCTACATCTACCTCCTCAACTCTTCTCCACCCCTCTCCACACCAGCTTCCAATTTGTAGCATTTGTGCACAATCCAGCATTGAGATCCCTCCCCTCAACCCTCCACTGATCAGGCCCGAGCTCGGACATCTGTCAGAGGATGTTTACCCAGGCAGTAAGTATGTTTGGGGAAATATTATCCTAGTTTTACCTTACCTTTCTTCTATCTGAAGCATAAACACCAGCATTGCGATGTGGGGGTGGTAGAAGAGAAAAGGGGAATGTAAAGAAGGCACAAGTGGGCCTGAGTGAGTGAAAGACATGGCTGAGGGTGAGCAGTCAGCAACAGAAACTAAAGGTTAGAAAGCAAGACAATAAGTATAAAGATAGTGAAGGATAAATCAGGGGCAAAGAATTATACTTAAAAAAGTCAGCATTTTATAGTCTGCTAAAAAAAATCAATATACAGTTTCCATGTTTGACATACAGAAGGACAAAGACTGATACACACATGCTTACCATACATAGGGAGACAAAGGCAAGTTTCCCTTATTGCTATTATCTGTCCCGTTCTTCATGTCAACACATACATGCTTGTGCACGAACACACACAGGCCTCTTCCCGTCTGGTGTTGCTTCCAGCCTAAAACCACACCATGTGTGGGAGCTATCTTGTGCTTGCCTAAACTGTATGCCCTGTTGGTGCAAGGTCCTTCCATTTTAAAAAGGGCTAGAAAGACATTTATTTCCTGTCTCACTGCTATCAATCTGTCTTCCTGTCTCTCTTTGTACATAGGGCTTTGTGCCCCTCTGTGTGCTTTTGACAGAAAGTGTCGTTCCTCCCGCTTGCCTGTCTGTATTTTTTGCCCGGGTATCCTTTTCATCTTTTGCCTGTTTTGCTTGTTAATCATTACTGTCTACAGCCGTCTCTGCCTGTCTGCCCTCATCTGCCTGCCTCTGTCGTTCCTATTTGTACCCCTTTCTCCGTCTGTCTAGCTCTCTTTCCCTCCGTTGAACTCTTTCTGTCAGCCTTTCAATTTTCACCCCCCCTCACTCCCCCCCAACCCTCACCTCTCCCTCCCACTCCACCACCAACTAGGCATGAAAACAGAGCTCCATTAGGAGTGCCTGGGCTAAGCCCAGTCTGACATACACTGCTTTGATCAGCCATGAGTTGGGCTAAACACTTTGCTAAACTCTTAGTCTGAAGGGAGTGGGGGGGGTGTAAAGGGGGAGCAAAAGTAGCGAGGTTAGCAAGGGATGGGATCAGTATCAAAACAGAGAAATCAAATTGAGATGGAAACCCCATGAAAGGAAAACACCGAAGACCCAAGCTGTCCCACAGTACATTTTCCCTTAGCCCCCCCCCACCCCCCACCCTTGTCTTTTGTCACATTTTCTTTCACATGTCTTTTTAGCTATTGGTTTTATATCTAGTGCCTTCACTCGCTTTCACTCCAAAACCTCCAGGTAGCCACTGAGCTGCATCACTAACAACCACTGCAGGTGCACAACACGCAAAGGTTTCACAGAATGATTCACATTGAAGAAGTAATGCAAATACACTAACAGATCAAATATCAGGATATCAGGAAGTCCCCCAACCATTCTTTGCAGACTCTTCCTCTGAAAGCAACTTGCCCGTCTTGCTAGTTCAATATGTATTGCACACACTTTAACACAAACACACACATGCTGTCAAGGAGAGAGAAAGCAAGAGAGTAAAAAAAAAGACCAGAGAGAGAGAGAGAGAAGACCTCCATAACTGACAACAGACAGAAAATATTTAAAAAAATAATCCAGTGCTTTTTACATTCAGGCAGGCAGATACCAAACCTGCAGCAGCAAAAGGACAAAAAGCTCCCGTCTCTTCTCACAAGGAGAGAAGAGAAAAGGGATTTCCGCTCAGTGCTAATCAATCAGGCCGTGATAATGGCTCCCATGCCTAGCTGTCGACTAGAGGGGTCAAGGCATCTCGTGACCCAGCGCCCAGGGCCCAGGGGCCAAAGCCCCTCTCAGAAAAGCACCCCAGGACAGACTCCCCAGGCTAATTGTCCAAGCCAGTGTCAGCCTTTTCAATGCCCCCTTAACCCCCCCCCCCCCTCCACCCCAATCCTTCCACTTTCTTGTTCAGTCCACTCTCATTCTTGTCCCTTTCGCTCCCCTTAAAACCATCCTCACAACTTTTCTGCAATCCTCTTTCTTTTTACACAACTAAGCAATCTCATATGTCTATCAATGTTTCACCTTAAAGCCAGCCGCTATACCAGCATGGGGAGGGAAATGAGATGGAAAGCAAGGAGATAGATGAAAAAAATAACAACAGAAATGCAAAGGGCTGCAGACTCAGAGAAAAGTTCATAAAAAGACAGCGATATAAAAAAGACAGAGAGAGCATGTCAGAGAAAGAGATCAGTGGTGGAAACAGCAACGGACAGGGAGGGAAGTGAGGTGGAAGAAACAGACAGAAAGTCAGCAGGACGGAAAGGGACAAACAGATGGAAAGAGGATATACGAACCCCACAAACATTTCACATATTACTGGAAAAGATTGCTGTGTCCTATCTGCATATCAGCGGGTTTCTGTGAATCACAGCCTGAGCAGCACGTATCTCAGGGAGGCTGTTCAACATCAGTCAGGTTGACCACCACAATGCAGCAGGGATACAAAACAAAAAATACAGCGGGGACAGATACACATACACACAAAGGAGAGCTGAAGCAAACCCCACTCCAGCTCCACGCAATGGCATTCCTCTCATTCCAAGCGCACGCTGCTAATTAACAGCATTAGATCCCACAAACACAGGGACAGATTGATGGAGAGGTATCGTGATGTTGCACTAGCTCCACATCTCCGCTGTCACCTTTCCTCCTTTTTACGTACTTATAGCCCCTTCCATCCCACCCTCTCTCCCTCTCTCAGGCATTGTCAAGTCCCGGCCACACAACGCTGAAGAAGAGCAAAGTCCAAAAATCAAAATGAGAAGAATATGAAATAAATTGGCTACTCACAGGAAGCCTCCTCTTTCTGTATTTCTTTTTTCCTGATCAGTCACTCTTTATCCTCTTCTTCACTGTTGCAAGGGGAGTGTCTATCCCGGCGTGTGTGTTATGTCAGTCCGATTGAGGAAAGTTGCAATCAGCGCGCATGAGCATGTGTGTGCGTGCGTGAAAGAGAAACTGAGAGAGAGAGAGAGAGAGAGAGAGAGAGAGAGAACGTGTGCCTCTGTCTCTGTGTCTCACACTGCTCTGAGTGAGAGAGCCGAGGCTGTTTTAAACAGGCTGCTCTCCCCATGTGACCAGCCCAGCCACAGGCAGGAATACATTACTGAGACACACACACACACACACACACACACACACACACACACACACACACACACAGATACACACATCCTCTCTCTTTCCCCCTCCTTTTTTTTATCTCTTGCCTATACCCACACAGTGTCCACAGTGCACCCCCTAGCCACCACTTAGGGTAGTGGAAGGATCAGCCCACACAAATGATATATACACATGCACAGAAATGAAGCATAACACATAAACATACATGAGGAGACATGACCTGAGCTCTCACTCTACATGTGAAAGTTATTATCTTTCACACTCACACAGAATTGCTGCTTTATTTCATTTTTATTTTACATACTTTAATAATCACAAAGAAGACATTCTGGTTTCACACTTTGTTATTGAGAAACATGATTCTCACACACATGGGCCCAGAATACACACATGCACAAACAGGACCTGTGGACATGCATTAATGGAGAGATGTCAGAGTGGGGCTGCGCCAGAACTTTTGGAGTTGGACAATTTATTCAACAAAATGTTCTTTCAATGTTTTTTGACTTTTCCATCTCTACTCTGGCAGTTCTTCACACCTGCGAGCACTGACCTTTTCAGAAATGGGAACCTTTTAAAGTTGACCTTCTGTTGAAAGGCTGATACAATATAAATACAGCTATTACACCATAAGCAACTGTAAATGAACACACAACATATTAAGTGTTTGGAATTGAATATAGTGGTGGCCAAAAAAACTAAAAACTATGTATACTAAGTTGTGTTCACAGACTCACAGGACTCGACGTCTTTGAACACCTTGCTTTATTCAACCCCAACACACGGCTCACTTAACACTGAGAGCCCCGCTCTGTTTACTAAACCCTCTTAACACGTTAACTGCTGTAAAGCTGCCGAGTGTCGTAACTCCCTCAGGCACACCGGCTGTCGTGCATACATAACATTTACCCCCCCCTTCAAAAACCCACAAAACAAGCAAACAAATCAATGTGTGAAACAACATTCTAACTAGGTAATCTGGGTAGACTGCCAGTTACCAACAGAGCCTTGTGGATTATTCTGCCACACTGAACAGGCCCTGCACTAGATCAAAAGTCTGTAACATAGTCTTTGAGGTAGTTTGGCCGTGCCCGGACTCGAGCTGGCCTAGCCTATGGCTCGTCGGGGGTCCCTGTGTGCCCAGTGGAGTGTCCAGCTGTAAGCTGTGGCCGTGCCCCAAAGTGGTCAAAGTCCACTGCAGTGGGGGTACAGTTCTCTAGGGAATCAGGGTGCATAAAAGGAGGCGGTGTTACCTTCTGAAGTCGACTGGCATGCTAGCGCAAACCATCCGACAGGCGAAATCTTGCGGGCCCAAGTTGTTCAGAGACCTGCATCGCTGTGGACCAAAAGGACAGCAGTTTGTGGCTTTGGTGCGGTCGATGAATCCGGACCCAGTCCAACACCGTGAAACTGGGTGAGCGTGCTCTCCTCCTCCTGTCAAACCGCTGTTTCATCTGGCTCTGCTTGTCCGCAACCCTCCTTCATCAAGTGGAAGCTGCAAGTCTCGGCCGATCATGAGACGGGCTGGAGAGCTACCTGTAGTTGAGTGTGGTGTTGCTCGATAGTGCAGCAGGGTCTGGAGCAGTGCAGCTGAGAGGGGAAGACGATCTGCTAGATGTGCTCTAATGCTGTTCTTCAATGATTGGTTAAATCTCTCGACCCCGCCGTTGGCCTTGGGGTGGTAAAGTGCGGTGCGAATGTGTGCGATGCCTCTGTTGTCCATAAAGGCTGCAAACTCAGCAGAGGTAAACTGCGGGCCATTATCCGTTGTGATGGAATTAGGAATTCCCCATCGAGCAAACAGCAAAGCCAGGAAGTCGGTGACCACACGGGTCGTGACTGAACCAGTGGTAAACACTTCTGGCCATTTTAAGTGAAGGTCATATGCCACAACCAGAAAACGCTGGTGCTGTGGGACAACATGAAGTTCTCCGCAGATGTCTACTTGGATGTGGTACCAGGGAGAAGCTGGCCACTGCACCGGTTGAAGAGGTGGAGTCGGCGGTGGGCCAGTCTTCCCGCTGACAAGGCAGGCTGTGCAGTCCTTTACCATGGTCTCCACATCCTGGTCAATGCCTGGCCACCATACCAGGTTCCTGCAGCGCTGCTTTACTTTGACAATGCCTAAATCACCATCTTGAACCATGGCCAGGATACGTGGTCGCAGGCTGCTGGGGACCACTGTACGAAACTCTCGAGCTATGTAGGGTGCCAACTCTTCTGACACCGACCGAGGCCACCCCTGTCGGATGAAGGTGCGGAGCTGGGAGAGGAGAGGGTCGGCTTCGGAAGCAAGCTGTAGTTCTTGGAGCGAGACTGTGGTCTGAAGGGGTGCATGAAGCATCAATATGAGATCTGGTTCTGTAGGGTCTGTGCCCATGTCTGGTGTCGGGTGGCTAGGGATGGCACAAGAGAGCAGATCTGCCACCACATTTTCCTGGCCTGGTGTGAATTGGGGAGAGAAGTTGTACTGCTGAAGTCGCTCTGAAGGCTCTCTGTGTCGTGTTGAATCTGGGACAGCACAGCGCCAACTGCTGTGTTGGATGCGTGACAGGTCAGGATTGTGGGGCTCACTAGGTCAAAATGTGCCAGCACAGGAGGGGAGATGAGTTGTTCCTTAAGATGGCAGATTGCTGCAGAGCAGGCTGGCGTCCATATCCAGGGTGCATCCTTCTTCAAGAGGTCATGCAGCGGGGCTATGGTTGAGGAGTATTGGGGCAGGAAACGTAAGTAGTAAGCTGTCATCCCCAGAAAGGAGGCAAGCTGAGTTGGATTAGTGGGCTCCGGGAGGCGCTGCACAGCCTCCACATTGGAGTGGAGTGGGCTGAGGCCATCAGCAGTCAGGCGAAAACCCACAAAGTCAATAGTGGGTACAGAGAAGGCGCACTTCTCCCTGTTCAGTGTGAGATTGTGACTGGCGAGCACGCCGAGCCCCTTGGTTAGGCGCTCATCATGGATTGTTGCTGTTGGGCCATGCACCACTATGTCATCCAGGTAGATGGGATACCTGCAAAGATGGTGGACATTATTTTCTGGAAACAGCTGGGGGCTGAGCTGAGACCGAAAGGCATCCAGGTGTAACGAAACACCCCGGTGTGCGTGACAAAGGCTGTGAGGTTCCGGCTGTCTGGGTGTAGTGGAACCTGTAGGTAGCCCTGGCGGAGGTCCAATTTTGTAAACACAGAGGAGCCATGGAACTTAGCCAGCTCCTCCACTGTGGGTAGTGGGTACTTGTCTGGGATCACCGCCTTATTGACTGACCTGAGATCGATGCATGGGCGCAGTCCCCCATCTTTTTTTTTTTTGCCACCACCAAATTGAAGATCCAGAGTGACGCATCTACCTGCTCGATTATGCCCGCGTCCAGTAATTTCCCCAGCTCAGTGGAGACGTCGTCACGCAGAGCAAGGGGCAGGCGTCGCAGGGGCTGAATGACAGGGCGTATTGCAGGGTCAAGCAGGGGCTGGTGGTTAAAGGTGGTGAGACAGCCCAGGCCATCAAACAGGGAGGGCCATCGTTGTTGCCATGACAGGCCCACAGTTTGGATTGTGCAGCCGGTGTTATCAACAAGGTCACAAAACAAATCCAGGCCCATGAGGTTAGCTCCATGCTTGGACACTTGGAATGTGAATGACGTGAGTGCTCTTGTCCCATAGCGAACAGGAAAGGATATTGTGCCTGCCATGCCAATTTTAGAGTCGCCATAGCCATATAAATCCTTTGCGTTAGGCGTAATTGTCCGTTGGGAGAAAAGTCGCCGCACTGTGGACGAGTTCATCAGTGACCATGATGCACCAGTGTCGAGCAGTGGAAGGCACACTCCATCTAGCTCAACTGTGCACCACTTGAATGGCCGGGAAGGTGAGCTCACTGAATGGATAGTCGTTGGTGCTGGAGGGCCGGTTGTTCGGGTGGCATCAAAGGGGTTAGAGCGACAGACCTTAGCAAAATGATTTTGTTTGCCGCAGCGTCGACACCTCTGCCCTTTAGCTGGGCAGCTGGGGCTGTGTGTGGTGTGCGATGAAGAGCCACAATTTCCACACTTCCACTGCGATGATGTGTTACGACCCCCAGCAAAATTCACATCCAGGCAGCTCCTCTCCAGGTCAAGCGGAGCTGGGGTGGTTCTTACGGTCTGCGTGACCAGTCCGGGTGGCGAGTGAGACTCAGGTGTTAGCTGTGATGCTAACCGTGCTGTTGATTCGAACTGGAAGGCTATCTCCACTGCCCTTATAAGTGTTAAGTCGTCAGCTGACATTAACAGCTTTTCTCTGACTTTTGGGTCAATAGCATGTTCAGCTAATTGGTCCCTTATAAGTTCATTCTCCAAAACCCCAAACTGGCAGAGGCTAGCCAAGCCCCTTAGGTCGGCTACGTAATGGTGAACGGACTCACCCACGTGCTGCCTCCGCTGGCGGAAGACGATCCGTCGGAGAATGACGCTCCGTGGAGCAGCAAAATGTCCAGCCAGCAGTGTGACACACTCGGTGTATGTAGCAGCGGGTCCGAGTGTTCTGAAGATCCTCTGTCCCTCACTGCCCAGGTTGTAAATGAGTATAGCCCTCCGTCATGCGTCCTCGGTGTCTTCCAGGCCGACGACCACGATATATGTTTCAAATGATTCATGCCAACGTTCCCAGGGCACCGGAGGCTCGCCGGGAAGCACCAGGAAGGGAGAGAGAGGTGGGAAAGAAAACTCCATCTTCGTCGCCAATGTTGTGTTCACAGACTCACAGGGCTCGACGTCTTTGAACACCTCGCTTTATTCAACCCAACACACGGGTCACTTAACACTGAGAGCCCCGCTCTGTTTACTAAACCCTCTTAACACATTAACTGCTTTAAAGCTGCCGAGTGTTGTAACTCCCTCAGGCACACCGGCTGACGTGCATACATAACATACTCTTAA